CCCCAAAACCCCAAAACCCCAAAACCCCAAAACCCCAAAACCCCATACACCAAAGTGCAAATAATATTAATTACCAAATTGACAAGATGGGAAACAAAGGTTTTGACAAGATTAAGTACAAGACTCTCCTCACCGAGGCATCCTCAAGGATGAATATCAGAAGAGGAAAGAAGGTCAACGAACTCTACAGAGTTAGAGACAAAATCGTTGACTTTGTCAAGAACGGAGATATGAGCTCGGCCTTAATTTACATTGATAATTACATTAATGAAGAGAACAAGTTGAAAGTATACGATGCTCTCAGTACCATGTGAGATCAGATGAAAGGAAGAGTCTCAGAGGTCGAAAGCTTTGGAATAACTGACGATCTCATGCCTAACGCTAACGCTATTGTTTATGCTGGCCAAAGACTTGATATAAAAGAACTGGAAAAACTGTCGGTGATTCTACAGGATTTAATGCCTAAAGTTGAGTATAAAGAAGCTGTCAATGGAACATGTCACAACGAAATTGTACGTGACAATACATCATACAGAAAATGAGAGAAGGGAGAATCTTACTTGAAGTTAGTTGAACTATGTCAAGAGACAGATACTCAGTGTATTCTTACAGAAAAATGGAAAAAGACACTTCGAGAGTACTGATACAAAAACAAATTGGACTACCCATATTCAGCTGAAGAAGATGTGGGATATAATCCTGGTGGAAGTGCTCCTCCTATTCCATCTTATGAACCTGCAGCTCCTGGAGGTTATGCACCTCCTCCAGCCCCAGCAGGGTATGGTCCTAGTCCTGGAGGCTATGCTCCAGCACCTGTTCATCATTTACCAGCACCTGGAGGCTACGATGGATCTGGAATTCCAGCTCCCTCCCCAGCATCGGCAGGAATTCCTCCTCCAGCTTCTTTGAGTGGAGCTCCAAGTTCTTCTGGCTACTCATTACCTCCTCCTCCAGATGACCTGAACCTTCCTTCATATGGCTATGATGCCAAGAAAGTGCCAGAGCCACCTGCCCCTGAAGAGAGGGCTCCAAAGTCTGAAAAGAGTGATGATTCAGATGACGAAGACTTAATGGCAAGACTTAAAAATCTTCAAAAATAAATTCAGAAAAGAATAATCATTAATCTTAATTCTCGATTCAACCAATTTCCATTTTTGAGGGGTTTTGGGGTTTTGGGGTTTTGGGGTTTTGGGGTTTTGGGG